GACATAATGAACGTAACAAAACCTGATTGATGGTGACATGACCTAAATGAGAGACTGAAGTTCGGCTGGTTAGCAAGGGCAGGTTAGCCCTGGTGGTGATACTGTAAATAATTTAAATGTTTACATGCAACTCAGTGTTTGATTATTAAATAAATTGATTATTTTATTATTAAATAAACTTTATTTGTTTTTGGCCAAAACGTTAGCTTCAGTGTTTTGCAATAAAATTCATTTTGGTATTATTCATATTAACAAGATGACAATTATACAAATATTAAACCAAGTGTTTATTAAAATTCACATTTTAAAGAGACCACTGCAGCAAAATAGCAAAAGTACACATGCTTGCTTCTGGAATAATTTTTTCTCTAATCTGAAATTATAAGACATGCAAACACAGGCCAGTTCAATAGAACACCCCCGCAAAATTGGAAAAATAATTTTAATTGATAGGCAAACATTTTGTTCTCTTTAAGAGTTTCTTGTTTAATTAACAGTCTCTCTGTAAATACTGCAATGTTACTGCATTCCCAGAAGCACACCCAGATGTTACCACTCACCCACGATGTGTCAGATGTTGATACTTAATGTTGATAGTCAATACAGACCATTTAATAGAGCCGGCACCCAAAAGATTAGACATAAACAGAGATGCCACTAGGGCTATGTACCTAGATGAGGTCCTATTAGCATAGTATGCTACTGACTGCTAAGGTTTCTGGCTACCTGTTGTCTCTGCTGTTGTCGCCTGTATTCTTCTTCACTAGCAGCGAGAGCCTGAGCTAAGGCTAGATCCTCCTGCTCCTGAGGGCTGAAATGCACAAAGTTAGATACTAGCATTGACTTCAGATTTCAATACAGTAAAACACTTTTTTAAATGGAACACTTTCAATACTAAATGTAATGTTCAAAAATAATTTTAAAATCTGATGGTTTATTATTAGGGCAGAAGAGGTCAGAAATACCTTAGAGTAGGTTGGCTTGCCCGAGCTGATTCAGCCAGTGACATTTCTAATGCTCTCTGGAGGGCCTGTTCTTCCGTCTGTGAAATAAAACACAATTCATGGTTTAAAAATAGTCAAACTTAGAGTAAAGGTTGACATTGTATTTAAAATCTAAAAAATGAACAACGTACCAGCCCGACTTGAAATGACGCTGATGGGGGAATTACATTCTGCGCTGTTGGAGACACCATTGGAGAAGACGCAGCATTTATCCTTTGTGCACTGTGGGGCAACAGAGAGCAACAAGTACCTGAGAAAACACTCAAATGTCTTATATACACTACAATTCAAAAGTCTGGGACCAATAAGATTTTTTTTTTTTAATGAAATGAATGTTTTTATTAAGACATGATGCATTAAATCGATCAGAAGTGACAGTAAAGACATTTACAATGTTACAAAAGATTTCTGTTTAAAATAAATGCTTTTCGTTTGAAATTTCTGTTCAAAGAATCCTGAAAAAAAAAAGATTTCAACAAGAATATTTAGCTGCACTACTGTTTTCAACATTAATAATACTAAATGTCTCTTGAGCAGAAAATCGGCATATTAGAATGATTTCTGAAGGATCATGCAATGTTTGCCATTGCATGAATAAATTGTTTTCTATTTGAACATTTTAAAACGTAATTATTTTAAAGTGTAATAACATTAGAATCAGAAATAATGGTGTAATAATCATTACACAATATTACTGTTTTTACTGTATTTTATCAAATGCATAAAGCCTTGGTGAGAAGAGACTTCTTTCAAAAACATAAAAAAAATAAATAAAAATAGCAATCCCAAACTTCTGACTGTTAGTGTACATTCAAATACCCCCCCCCAAAAAAAATGTGCTTACCTACTGCTCTGAGGTCTGTTTCCAGTTACTCCATTGGACGTGGTCCTAGAGTTCCCTCTAGTGGATGACGCCACAGCGTTACTGGAAGAGGAGGCTTGAGCTCTCATTAAAGCAGCATGCCTGCAAAACAAGCCCCACCATTATTAGTGGACTAGTCTTCCAGAGAGCTTAACTTAGCAGTATGAAAACAAAACTACCGTACTAACCCCGATTTGGAGACTGGCTTGCCGTCAGTCTTACAGTCATGGTCGAGTGGATGTCTATGTTTGAGACAGTAGTCCAAGTGGCACTGGTCACATGTCACCCGGATCATTTCCTTCTGCTTACAGCCGCCTTTGGAGCATTTATTTGTAAAGATCTGTGGGGTGAGTAAAAACCAAGTCGGTATTCATTTCACAGAGACATCATTTTCTCTCCTTCCTTTTTGTGGCTGGCCTACCTTTCGTTTCCTCTGAGCAGGGTCAGATTTGCAGTCTCTGTCTATGTGTTCCCCAACTTTGATGTCAGGCATTTCCCCTCTTCTAATGGGAATGGGGGTGTTGCACAACGGACATACAGGAACCTGGATATCCTTCACAAGGAAGCAAACATGTATAAGCCACAACCTGTGTGCTTTAAACATTGGTTAAAATATACAACGAGGCAAGATTATTCTTAATTAGAGACAATTATGCCCACCTTCTTATATGATGAAGTGCACTTGTGATTTGCATAAGTTATGTGGTCTTTGCAGAAAATGTCTTCACAGGCATCACATTTCATTGGAAGAAAATCTGTAGTGTACACACAGGACAGTGGAAGTTTTATTTATCTACTAATGCTGAATCACTATGAGCACAGCAACATTATAAAACCAGCTTAGTGACCTATATGGGCTTCTCAGTGGCTGATGGCTGTTGTAAATAATTTATCCACTAAAATGTATACACAAATATACACTAAATGTTGAAATCACACAACAGAAATAAGAGTATAATTATCAGACAGTGTTTTTAATCTCAAATTGGCCAAATATTGCTAAATTAATCGACCTGGCTGACACATTAGTTCCATGACTAGATTGTGGTTACATGTAAAAAAAAAAAAGTTCAGAAAACAGGAAATGCCACACCTAATGAGATTTAACGCATTTGCCATTCAACATGTGATCAGGTGGAGTTCGTGCGCATACACAAACATTAATAATTCACAGGCTGTACAGGGCTTTACAATAAGGATGACTAATGGTGGAAAAAGCGAGAACAACTTGTCATAGGCTTAGAAGTATTCATTTAAATAGGCTGGAAATGGTCAACAAATCACAAAATTTTCAGCATCATGTCTATCGTAAGTTTTTGTTACACACTCTCCAGTACTTCTGGATTCTGATTGGTCAATCACAGCACTTCTGAAAATGGCAGAAGCCAAGAGCAACACTGTATAACTGACCGCTCATCCAGAAAAAAATCTTTATTTATTTATTTAGGCTATTTGATTGGCAGCTGTGTAATAAGCAGGATAGTGCTGTATTATTGTTTATTTTGCTAAAATGATAAGCAGTTCACCATACATTATTATTTTTTTTTTCCCCATAACTGTCATGGAGTTACATTATGGCTATAATTTCAACTATTATTGCAAATGTAAAAGCTAGCTAATATACAATTTTTTTGTAAAAATATTTTTTTGGAAAAAGAGACATTGAATGACATATTTTGTTCTGGCATATACACATTACCATTCGAAAGTTGGTTAAGACTGTTTAAAATGTTTTTGAAAGAAAAACATTAAAACATCTTATGCTCACCAAAGCTGCATTCATTTGATCAAAAATACAGTGAAAAATTTAACATTGTGAAGTTTTAATACAATTTAAAATAACTTTTCATTTTGAATATACTTTAAAATATAATTTATTCCTGCAATATCAAAGCTGAATTTTCAGCACCATTACTCAAGTCTTCAGTGTCACATGATCCTTCAGAAATCATTCTAATATGCTGATTTCAATGTTGAAAACAGTTTCTCTGCTTAATATTTTTGTGGAAACCAGAATAGAAATATTTTGTAACATTATAAAAGTCTTTACTGTCACTAGTGATCAATTTTATTTATCCTACCTGAATAAAAGTATGAATTTCTTCCCAAATAATCAAATCAATAACTAAAATAAATCTGACCCCAAACTTTTGAACAGTAGTGTACTTTGTTAAAAACATTGTGTACATTGTTGTGTATCTTTTTAGAGTCCAGTGAAAATGCTGACAAGCAAAGTAAAAATCTGACAATCTGACAAATCCGACCAAGCCAATAGAAAAACAACTTTATTGAGCCCTGCTCTATGTGACATTGTTTAACCAGACATTACATGCATACCGAGACGTTTGCAGCTCTTCTCCGAGCAGTGCTCCCCGAGATCTGGAAACTCCATGGCACAGCGGTGACAAGCGCTCAGCTGCTGGACTGCAAACAGGAAATCAAAGCCTGTTGTCATATATCAATCAAACAAGCTGCCAATCCAAACATCATGAATCCACACAATGAGTAAAACATGCTTTAAATGCGGAAGGCCTGGCAAGAGTTAAGATGATCCTGTTTACTATATTAAGCTGAGGCTATTACGTTACGTAACTGTCGTGGCTTCACTATGAGCACCGACCAACTCAAGCTGAATCATACAGAATAATATGCGAACATCTCAATAGATGGTTGTTATGAACTCTAATGTAAGGGGGAGGCGCAGCGAACGATAAACGAACTCTTGATTGTCATTAAAATGTGATACAATAAACATGACCATAATAAAAAAAACATTTAATAAAAGACCGAGCCGGGTGAGGTTAAATCAAACGCCTGTTATCGAGTCTAAATAAGGCGAATTAATAAGCATAGAGAAACCAGGAATGACTGGTTGTCGTCTGTTTTGCGTTAAAAACGAACATGTTAACCGAGGTATATTAATTGACAAAACAGTAAATGTGTATCTTACCGAAATTGTGCGCAAATCCTCTTTAGATAACGTTAGTTATCTAACGTTAGTTAAAGCTTTTAGCTTCGAGCCAAGCGCAGCGGCGGTGTTTGGGGTTTTGTAGTTAGTCGTCTGCTGTTTTTTGAGATGTCATCGCTGGAGGTGTGAATCTGCTACAGGAGATTGTTTTTTCAAAATAAAAGTACTCGAGGTTTATAAATTGTATTCGGCAGTTTATGGCAGGGTGTTCCACAGCAGCAAGCATCACGTAAGTTGTATGTATTTTATTTCTGCTGCGTTTCCCCCCATAACGCCAAGCAACACGCTGAAACGATCGTCAATTGACAAGTTCATTACGTGCCATTTGTCTCAGACAGCCCTTTATTGATGTTGCCATTCGAGGAGAAAGTATGGAACAGAACTCATGACACACTGCAGTGCAGTCATTAAGTGTTCAAATTAACTGTATCCTAGTCTTAAATTTAACATATGCTTTCCCTCATTCTAATTAATATGACTTCTAAACGAAAAATATTTATTATTGATTTGTTTTTGTTATTAGGACAATTGTATATTCATCAAACTAAACGAAGTAACTCAAAACCCAATTTTGCTCATTTTCAAACAGCCTTTACATTGTATTTATTTCGAATCTGTAAAGTTTAAAAAAAAATCGAAAAGTCCAATGAACTGTGAATTCTGTAATTCTGAAAGTTCAATAAAAAAGACAATGTGAAATGCAATACATTCACCACGTTGCTTTTCTTTACTGTGCTATCCTGATTTTCAATAGATGGGGATTTGTTTCTCTTCCATACTAAGGGACATAAAAATAATCCACAATTATAAATACCGAATATTGTAAATCCAATAAACCTAAAGTACACTAAACATTCATATATCATTATAGACCTGTTCTGAGTGCTTACTCCCTGTTGAAAAAAACAGCATATGCTGGTTAGGTATGTTTTGACGCTGGGATGCTGGTTTAAGCTGGTCCTTTGCTGGTTTATGCTGGTCCTTTTGCTGGTTTATGCTGGTCCTTTGCCAGCACATGACCAGCATAAACCAGCAAAGGACCAGCATAAACCAGCAAATGACCAGCTTAAACCAGCAAATGACCAGCATAAACAAGCAAAGGACCAGCTTAAACCAGCATCCCAGCGTCAAAACATACCAGTCTATGCTGTTTTTTTTCAACAGGGCTGTATGAGCCCAACCAAAGGAACACAATTCTTATCTTTTAAAAATATATACACAAAAAAATAGTACATAAGGATTGTTTCATTTTTGGCTCAAATAACGAATCTGCGCTATTATACCAAGGGAAAAGAAAAACACATATTAGCACTGACTGTTTTACAAGTGAAAAGCATCTTTGCAAAATAGTGCTTCCGGTACTGCTGTTTTAAGCGTTCCTTATCGTTTCTGGCTTCAGACAGCCTTTGTCACGCCCTGACTAGTTACGTTCTTGCTGACGCAATCACGTTATTGCTGGAGATTTCCAGAAAATACCACCAGAGGCCGTGATTCATCTTTTTTTTTTTTAGTAAGTTAAAAAACAAACAAACTAAAAAAATCACTACCATAGAGATCTGAAATATTTGAATGCGACATATGAAATTGCGCTTTGCGTAAATAACTACAGTACGTTCTTGAGAATGTTTTCTTAAGAAGAAGATTTTAATATAAAAAAATGACAACTAAAAATATACAGGAATTAATACAAAATAATATACATGAGAAATTATCATGTTTAAATGTAAGTTATGTAATTATTTCAATATGTATGTTTATATAACTGTGCTTAATTGTTTTGTATAACTATTGTTAGATTGTACAGCACTTTGGTCAGCAGCTGCTGTTTTAAATGTGCTCTAGTATTAAGTGTAATTCAGATAACTCATATTTTAATAATTAATGTACTGTTAACATCAAGGAATAGCTAAACATGGTTCAGATATATATCCTAATCTGTTCACAAATATATTGTGAAGTAAATACAATAAATACAAAATTATCAATTGGTGGCTAATCTTGCAGATGTAGATTATTGTCTCCAGTCCCCAGTGCTGGAAAGCTAAATGTCACAATGACAGTGCTGAAAATGACTCTGGAACATTGTGGTTGTATGTGTCATCTCGTATGACCAATAAGGGCTGTGTTTTCTCTTTTTGACTCTTGCCAGATAATACATCACACCAGCTATCAGCGGAGGACTGGGATCACCTGTCAGCATTTTGACAACATGGAGAAGAGGCGTTAGAAAAAGGGACTCTGATTGCTGCAGATCTGTTTGTTCTAATGCTTCCTGTAACAAAAGAGAAGGTACAGGCAAATTACCATCAGAAAAGTCAATAAGGTCAAGGATAAAAGAGACTTTAACATTGCTAGCTATGACAGGATTCGGTCTTGAGAACAGCTTTGACAATAGCAGTCTTTAAGGAAATCAATGAGTTCTGAGTTCTTTAATGAAACATCTCAAACTGGAATTGGAAAATATTCTGTGCAATTTATTGCGCTTTGCCTGTATAATTTCACCACAAGGTGGCAGTAATGTTGTTTCTTTTTCTATTTGAGTGAGCCTCACTAAATTGAATTCAAATGTAAGACTTCTAATAATTATTTTTCATTATGGTTTCAATGTTACTATCAATTTATGCTATGGAATCGCAGGCAGTAAATTGTCAGTATTAGAGTTTGTGTTGTTTTAAATGAAGTACGTCTCTATACATGAACACAGATCATTCAATTAAATAAGGGCATTATGTTTTACGATCTGTCATGCGAGATTTGGCATTTTGTTCTATGTCTGCATCTATAACCCTGAGAGAATCAATACAAAGTTTTACCACATTTGCTTGGTATGATTTACTAAAAGGCTTGAATGCCTTTTGATAACTTATCCCAAGAACACTTTACAGTTACAAAACAGCACCAACTGAGAAAGTCTAGTCAGGATTTTTAAAAAGATGATTTTACTTTAGATCTCCTGATTTAAATCTTGTGATTTTACTTTTAATTTAACAGCCATATTTATGTTTTATATGTTGCTTTACACTCTTAAAAATTAAGGTTCTTTTTTGACATTGATGGTTCCATGGAATGTTCATTGAACCTTTCCAATGGACAACAGGATTTTTTTTATAATGGGAAAGGGTTTTTTTTTTTTTTTTTTTTTTAACTGTTCACTGAAAGATTCCTTCGGGAAACAAAAATGGTTCTTCTATGGCTATGCCCAAACCAGGGCCCAGGGCCAAAAATAAGTGAATTTATTTAACAAATAATTTAAAATAAAAAACCTGCTATTTACATTTTAATAATTTTTTAAATATTAAAAAGTTTGAGCACATCTGTTCTATGGCATCAGGGAAAATATCCTCTTTTGGAACATTTATTTCCAAAAGTGTTGTCTCATATGGAAGATGGGTAATAACCTAGAGTTACACAGTGACACAGAGCTGTGTAGATTACTTACACATTGTAGTCCATTACTGATTCCAAATTACATGACAGAAAAGAATTACATGACTATGTACTATATGTAATTATAGCCACCTAACTAGTGACTGATCTTTATGTGATGTCCACAAAACTGGAAGACTTTCTAAATGTATATAAGTGGTAGGCTATTTCAGAAAGGAACATTTAAATGACAAAAAAGAGTAATTAAGGAGAATCAATAAATTATGAATAATTTATTGATATTGTGTGAATAATATGTCATCACATAATCAATAATAATTTAACTGTAGTCTGATTAGGAGTATTTTAAAATGTAATTTAATCTCATTACAAGTACCTAATTTTTGAAATCCAGATTACATGTAATCAGTTACTACCCAGCTCTGCACACCATGTTATTGTTATTCATGTTCACCCAAAAATATAAATTATCTCATCATTTACTCACCCTGATCCAAACCTGTAATTTTTCTGTTGAACATAGAAGATAATTTAAAGAATGTCTCACAGTTTTTTTTTTTTTGCTTTCATGTAGTGAAAGTCCAATATTCTTCAAAACATGAGGGTGACTAAATAACAGAACTTTAATTTTAAGGTGAACTATCCCATTAAAAGCATCTATACATGAAATGAGCGTGAATAATGAATGTAGTCAGGAAGATTAACAGCTAATGCTCAGGCTGTGAAAACACATGGATTCTGAAACCCTCAATAATCTCTTAACAGGTTAATTAGTGTATTGATCACTCAAGCAGTGATCCAATTTAAAGATCTGAAATTCCTATATTTGCAAAATAGGTTTACACAACACGCATAAACACCCTCGCGCAAACACATTTAATTCATTCGAAACAAAGACCACCCAGTTGTCGCCTCTTATTATGCAACAGTGCTCAGTCATGCTCCTGGAGGCCCGTGTAAAAGATCACTTTTGAGCTCATCTCAGATTCGTCCCTAGTACAAGAGCACCTGGCTCATAAGCTGCTAATTTTGCTGCCAGATGGCACCTCTCAGAGAACACCTGCTTCATCATCGGGATTCCTTTACGTTGCCGAAACTCTGTCTGCTTGAATAGTAAAATGATTGTAATAATTTCATATCTGCTTATTATCCCGTCTTTGCGAGAGCAAACGTTTATGCCTACAAATGTGCGATGGCTCTCTGCCAAAATGCCACCCTCAATTTCTCTGTGCGGTGACAGTGTCTGTCAAATAGCATCATAAACGCTTTTGTTTAGGGGCCGCTCATCACCATTTCTCACTCACCCTGTCAGCGGTGTCACAAATTTCCCAGCTGTCCAGTACTTGCAAAGCATTTCACTTTTTTTTTTTTTGTAGGTGTGTTTGACATACCATGCCTCATACGCACATTCACACCTTCTAAACTGTGTGGGTTTCCTGCTGAAATGTGACTACACTTTTAAGCACTCAGCACTGAAAATCCTCACAGGTGTGAGATTCAGAGGGACACAATGCAAACATTATATATGAAAATTCTTATAGTTACATTATAATGAATTCACACAGCCATAACAAAGTGACTTGGATTTAAATATTGGAGAAACAGTCAGGATAAAAACATACCACTGAAGTTTATTTTTAAACTTTGTTTGCTCTGAAGTGCATTCAGTGACCCAGCGATGACCAACTCCTTGAGTCCAACTATGAACAAATAAGTCTTTCTTTGTTTTGTCCTTACATTCAGTTGAGCGCATCCAGAAATATAAGCTAGGCAGTGACTCTAAATTGGATAGTAATTACTGCCACGACAAATTGAAGGGAAGCAATCCAACGTATTTTCTATTATGAGATAGTATTATTCTTGGTTAATAATCCCTTTATGCATGATTGAATTTTGATAGGCTGTCTGAATGATAATTGCGCGTAATAAACCATTGCATCTGAAGGCTTGTTAAGCTTTTGTGATTGGACATATCAGTAATTCTTATTAAGAATTGCAAAGCAGGTTTGGATGTGTAAATATTACCGTTTGTCTAAATGTCGGGAAAAAGTACAACAAATTTTCAGCACTTACTTTTTAAAAAAGAAAGGTCTGATTTGCCTACAGTTTATGTTCAGATGTTATACGCTCTTGAAAATAAAGGCTTCAGGTAGAACCAAAAGGGTTTTACAGCCTGATGTCACAAGAGAATGGATTCTTTAAAGCTTCTTTGTTATTTGAAGAAAATGCTTTTAAGAGAGAATTCAAGATTTTACCAAATTAAATATATATATAAGATACAAAAGACAAAACAAGAAGAGGATCTTTATGGAACCTTTATTTTTAAGAATGATTATAAGATTGAAAACATTATTATGAATATATGATCAGAGACATATCCTTCAAAGCCTCAGCTTTACATTTTTATCTGTAACCCTAGATGTGAACTTTGTGTGAGCTGAAAAGAATGTCTTTTTTTTCTCTTATACAACATGATTGTGGTGCTTAAATATATATGAGTGCTATAGCGTATATAGAATTAAAGTAAAATAAAATAGCTTCAATATAGCAAAAACAATAGTTTTGCTTAGAAAAGAGGTCTAAAATATGAATGCTATTGGAAACGGGCCGCCGCTTGATGGCGCTCATGTATTCGATTTATGACTAAATTGGCTTTGAAGAGTGGTAATTAAAAAGACACAAGCTCATGAATGAGCAATATAACTTTTATCAATTAGGCACGTCGACGCACGCTTAAAGTGACTTGGAACTGATGCGAGCGAGTCGCTGATGTTGATTAAGCTTAGTAGTGTAAAATTTAGGAGGTCTAATAAACGGGTGAGCATAATGCACCTGTCATGGATGGTGCAGTGGGGACTGGTTTTTGGAAATGAAATAGGCCTATGTCCATCTCGCTTCATAGAAAGAGGGCAGCACACACAATTCATTAAGAAGATAGCTTGTTAATTAGCGCTAAGTTAACCTGATTTCTCTTAATTAAAACATCTTTCCTCGTTTACGATGTGGATATATGCAGATCTCCTGGGCTTTGGATTTTCTACAGCAGCAGATGGCCAGGCTGTGGATAATAGTTAACGCTCTCCGTGCCTCAGATCCCTACAACGTGAGCTACCGACCTGGCAGGAGATTAACGGAATCGCTTTCACTTCTCCATTCTACTCTGACAGCAGCACAATTACAGATAATTAGATGGAGGAAACTTTTAATTGTAGGGATTAAGAAGAGGGGGGGAAATTTTCAGGATCAGAGAAAATTTGGAAACCGCGTTTCCTGCCTGCTAAAATCGAATCAAAGGATTTGGTTTAAAACACTAGAGCCAAGTCTTTTTCTTTAATTGGAGCTGCATCTCGTCGTATCAAATCATCCACAACAATTAATTTAGATTTAATACTATAATTATCATCAAATCGAATAATGTGCAGCTTAATTTAGATAGTTAAAAATGAACGCGCGTGAAGTTAATTGAGTAATTAAACTCCTCAGCTGTTGCGTATTAATTTGCTAGCCTAATTAAAAATGAATTTGGTTTTATGTAATGTTAGTGATGCGGGCGTCGGTGTTGGATGGGCGCTTTGATTAGTTTGTTTGGTTAGGCGTTACATCTGAACACCTGCTGTTAATGGGGTCAGTGACGTCTACTTGATTGCACATGCTCATTTTCCGCCAGAGGCATGGTTTCAAGGGTAGCTTTGGGTGGGTTTTGCTCAGGTACGCTCCAGTGCATCTTTTTTGAGTTCAGATAACTTCCTGTACCTGAAATTCCACCTGCTAATTATAAGACATCTTGAGTACGGTTGTTGGGATTTTAAGATAGGCTATGCCCCAGTTATATAATGGCTCCAGGCATATGAGAACTCCGGGGAATGGGCTTGAGGATGAACGCAGGGAATGTAGTGTAATTGGTGATATAGGCTACTCGGTGTGTTTGTTTTGTGGATGAGGTCCAGTCCTGCCTCCGTCTTTTCCTCTGAACGTTGATCTAATAACGTTGTTGACTTACTAAAATGTCTATCATTAATGTTTTTCATCATAGCCACCTTTCCAAAGTTGCACACTTTTTGCACCACACCATGACACGTTTGTTTATTTTATTTTGGCCTTAAGTTGACTGAAATCTACTAAATAAAGTGGAACACAACGCCCCGTGATCCACTAAGACGAGATAAACGTGCTTATGTTTAATAAACCAAATCAGATGTCCAGTTATCATTTTAGGAATAGCCTACAACATTACATTCGTCTATGATCAATAAAAGACATTATTTATAAATGTGGCCCACTGAACACGGCCTAAATTGTGAATGAAACTTCAGAATCCAAATAAATGGCAAATAAGACAGTCTAACAACGGCCCTGAAAGCAAGTCGTGTTCGTCTTATTATCGGGTTAATTAAAGCTTGGATCTGACAATGCCACTTGGTTGTAGAAAAACGGATTTAAATGCAATGTCTCCCGGGAACGCGTGTCAAGGGCTGCTTTTCATTGAGCCAAGATCGCGCCAGGACGGGACCGCGCCCTGAACTGTCAAAGCTGCAATTATAGAATTCTGATGTTCAAAAAGGGATCTGGATAACCGAATTATTCATACTTGTGTACAGTATTATAAAATAAGTTGAAGACACAGAAAATAACATTCAAGGATTCCTCAAACTTCTAAAAGCACTCTCTGTGAGATAAAGGGATAAAAGGCTATAGATCATGAGACATATTTAAAGGGTTCATTAAAATTTAAACATTGAAATGCGGGGTGCTATTTGGGCTCGAGGTCAAGAGACGAACGGATTATATAGTTCCTCATAATAATATTAATTAAACAATTTGCATGCTAATAAGGTAACAATTATCAGGGCCTCTGTTGAAAGATTCAGGTTATTACAACACGCCAATCCGAGTGCCAAGGGTCAGGGAGTGAGCGGGGAGCGAAATTTCAACTCAGATTAACATTATGACAACTCCAGACGCTGGCCAAATAAAGTGGAATTAATTCTCTGTAATGAGAGGGGGAGACAGGACGGCCTCTTAAAGCGGTCGGATTGATTACCATTCTGTAGGCTATTCAAAAAGACAGTTCACTTGCCTAAATATAACACATAGCTATATTACTGTAAGATTAATTAATGATAATGTTAGATAAAGGTGACATAGTCTGATCTAGATTTAATTCACAATATGAAATGATAAACAATTATTACTTATTTACCATTTTATTTTCTCACTGTTCTTTTTTTAATTTTGTTTTCCATACTGACAGACTGTCTAGTTGGGAATTTTTTTTTTTTATAATTTAAACTATATATAATATTAATTAGCCTAATACTCATGGGAGAGCGACTTACGTTAATAACCGAATATTGTTTCAGAGGTGTAGCAACTGTTGTAAGTTAAAGCAAGCATGATATTACACACAATGACCACAAATAACCCGCGCACAATTTGTACATCAGCTGTTTAAATGACATTAATTACACCGGAGTGCCATGGCTGGGGAAATATATCTAATTTTCTGTTAAATGTCGAGTGCCTTCTAATTAGCGATTCGTGTAATTAAAAGTTCATTTATTCCTCCAGCGTTATCAAACGAGTAGGTTCGCATCATTCTCACTCTCCTTATTTTTGAAAGCATTGTGGCGCGTCTGGTTGTAGTTCGGAATTACATTTGACAGCTCTGTTCGACGGATATCTTCGGCTTGACTTTTGACAAGTTGCCCAAGAATCGCCACGTAAATAACCAGATTAGATAGTGGGTTGGTCAATTTGTCAACAGTGCGCTAGGAATCTTACCTGTTCACATGGCAACATTTCGACTTGACGAGTCGGTATGGGTGTGTGTTTGTTTTCACCCGGTTTCCCGTTTTCTTTTCTTTTTTATGTTTGTTTGTGTGTGCAAAAGATTTGATATGGATAGAGGGACATTGATTCAAACGGTGATGAATCCGCCGCTCTGTGTGTGGCTGCAGTCCGAGGTGAGATTTCAGTGTCTATTTAGCATTTAACTGGGTATCAAATCTGATCGCTCTCCCTCTAAGGCCCCCTGTGTAGTCGTGATGTAGTTCTTATCAAAGCCCTCCTGTCTTGTTGTGACAGCTCTGATATTGTTTATTGAGGTGGATGTCAGGTTTAATTAGCAATCGATATGGAAAGCGTTTTCGGACTACGTCTCTGACGTCAGCGCCGATTAACGCTTCTCATTGGTCTCAAATTCCCAGAGCCTAAGCTAATTATTGGAAGCTTCGTGTTGATAAAGAACAGCTCATCCTACTCTTCACATCATGTCCCCTCCTCGCTGGCCACTCTCGCTGCATGTTTTTTAAATTCACATCACCAACCACCAGACGTCGTTTCCTTTTGCCTGGGAGATGATGGACAGCAGGATACTGGATCCACCTCATGCCCAGTTCGGAGGCTCGCTCGGTGGGATGGTGAGCTTTCCGTACCATCTAAGCCACCATCATGTGTACGAATTAGCCGGTCATCAACTTCAATCTACGGCCGCGGTTCCTTTCTCAATAGAAGGATTACTTAACGGCTCCTGCACGGCGTCCGTGGTGAATTCTAACCCTCTCTTGTCTGGCTGCGGTATGAATGGAGATAACCAGCAGTACAAACTGACAGGTAAGCAAACACGCACTTGTCCTAAACTGGCATAATGGTTTTTGATTGAAGAAAAAAATCATGTTTCTGTCATGTTGTAAAACAAAAATATACATTTATTTTCCCCCCCATAAAGCTTTGAGGAATAGCCAGGGGAAACAAAAGAAAGGATTCTCTCATTCGCTCATGTGTTCAAGCTAGTTTACTGGAATTAAAGCAGAATGACTTTTATAAGGAAGAGAGGCTAATATAAAATATTCTACAAAATTCTTGACAGCATGTAGACAACTTCCATCTCTTCGTATTATTTATAGTTACATTAGCAAGAAAACACAACTGATGGCGTTCGTTTTCTCTATCCTTTCTTACGCGTTAACAGTAAACGCTCATGCAGACAAATAAACACTATACGAAGAATATCAGTGGGCCCACTGTAACTGTGCAAGTTACAAGCGATGCTAATTTATTGTTTTTCATGTAGATTCGGGTGATCCAGACAAGGATAGCCCGGGTTGTAAAAGAAGACGAACTCGTACCAATTTCACTGGCTGGCAGCTGGAAGAATTAGAGAAGGCTTTTAATGAAAGTCACTATCCAGATGTGTTCATGAGGGAAGCGCTTGCTCTGAGATTGGATTTGATAGAATCGAGAGTGCAGGTAAATACAATAAATTTATTTTTCACGTGTTGTGCTGTGACGTTATGAACAGATGAATCCAAAATGATTTTGGTGTAAACACAACATGGTTTTATGAATAGCCATGTCTTATTATTTTTGTTTTTCCCCTTGTTCTTTGTTCTGCTATTTTTCTTTCATAGCCTAATGTTATTTGTATAAAACAGGGGATGTGCTTATTATGAAAATGCTTCTTCTTCTTCTTCTTTTTAAATGGTCTTCATTAAGGTTTATAATTTATTTTAAAAAAGTGTTTTTACATGAAATTTTTTAGACGTCTTTTTGTAGTTTTGTACTGTATTTTGTAAACTATAAACTAGGCCCCACTGTTAGCAGAAAAATATATATAAAGAGATCACTGCACAAAAATAGAATAGGCTAGCTTTAATAGATATATTTACAAATATTTTTGATTCTCTATTACATACAGTCGGGTTAAATGTTTTGCGAAATTGAGGGAAAATATAGGCCTACATGAATAATTGTGCGCGATCCTTATAAAATATTACTAGGCTAAATAATTACATTCAATTGATATATTACTCCGTTCGAGAGAACATATTTCTTTGTGCAAAATAGCATGTCTGTCAGGCGTAAGTTAATTATCATTATTTTTTATCTGAAAACATAGAATCAAACATTTGGCCTATAAATCAAAACTCTTTGCTTTAAATTGCATGGAGCGTAATGTAATTCATTTAGGATGTGGCCTTCTTTTACAGCAGCATTCAAGATGATCTTTTTGAACCATAACATTATTCTAAAATGTGTTGTTTGGATAATTGCGTTTTATTTTAAATTATATTATAACAATACCACATTTATAATACATATTCAGTAAATTTACAACATTCTATAAAATACTGGCAACTCATAATTAAGCAAAATGTGTTTTAATACTTGTATGTTTAATGTTTCAAAAACAACACAAATAATACAGTAAATAGGCCTATAATATACTGTATTGTATATTATAAATATTCTAATATAATGTGTATGTATATATAATTTGTATAGGAGAATATATAGCTATACACATAACGTAAATCTAATTTGCATATATTATGTTTAAAAGAAGGCCTATATTTTTTATATGTATTTGTCTCAGCACACTTGGCTTTATTTTAATGACGTGAACATAAATGTTTTTTTTTTTCCTTTTCATGTTTAGGTATGGTTTCAAAACCGAAGAGCGAAATGGAGAAAAAAGGAAAACACGAAAAAGGGGCCGGGGCGACCTGCACACAACTCCCATCCGACGTCCTGCAGTGGCGAGCCAATGGACCCAGAGGAAATTGCGCGCAGAGAACTAGAGAGGATGGAGAAAAAGAAAAGGAAACACGAAAGAAGGCTTTTAAAGTCGCAGAACAAACTCATTTCCGGGGACTTATTTCACACCCCAGGATCTGACAGTGACAGTGGCTTGTCACAAGTAACGGACAATGAACAAAGCATCCATTACGACATGGGCCGAAACCAAACGCAACCAAGCTGTGACCAAACACCACAGAAACTCCAGAACCAAAGAACCGCAGACCAAGACGCGAGTGGATCCGAGCTGGACTCGTCCGACAGCGGTCAGCAGTCAAACCTGTGCTCCAATAGTCGGTCTTCCACTCTTCAAAAACTCAATCCCTTCAGTGTGGAAAGCCTTCTATCGGACTCCAGGCCGAGGCGCAAGCCGCCTATGGACTTCCCAGTACCGGCTCCACGGCCTTTGATAGGGAAAGGACATTTTTTACTGTACCCTATTACACAACCTCTCGGTTTCATTGTTCCACAGACTGCTTTGAAGAGCACAGCACCAGGCCCTGATGCTGAAAATGGCCAGAAAGGGCCAGCTGCTGACAGTACCTTTGCTGGAAACCTAGGAGACAGGAACGCCAAGGAGACCAACAGTGTAAACAACAGCGGCGCGCGAGCAATCAAAGGCCAGGTCAGTCAGTCGGGCAACATAACGTGTTCACCACAGAGCAGTTCACCACAGACTACCATTAATGGTCACTCGGCGGGCAGCTGTAACGAAAGATGCCCACAAGATATAGAGTTAGACCCCGTCGATCCAAAGTCTCCACAGTCGGAGAAAAAGGAGCAGTCGTTACCTGACTATCCACCACAAAATTCAGAATCAGCGACAAGCAACAAGGACACCGACAAAGACTCAGTTGACGTCGATATGGAATAAATGAAATCGTAGTAGAAACGGAGGAGCGTGTCGATATTGCACGACCGCAGATTAAGCGAAGAGGAAAAAAAGTCGACATATCGAAACGTATCGTTTTCATTGACATATTTATATTCTGATTAGGGGAAATATTTGTGTGAAACATTTGTGTATGTGTGTGGTGGGCTATCAGATGTTTATTGAACAGCAGCTCCCTGCAAGAAACTGTAAAAGAAAAAAACAAGAAAAAAACAAGACAAAACCTCAAACGTTGTACAAAGTATTAAGATATTTATATATGTAAGTTTTTTCATAAATAAATCGATTGTATAAAACAAACTTAAGCGTGCATGGCCCTAAATAGAGCTTATTTGTAGCTCCTTCTCCCACGACCATGTTGTATTTTGTGTATTGCTTTAACAAATTTATTCATCTATAAGCTACACTGAAATGAGGTTACGAGCCGGAGGCGAAAAGACCCGTTCGACTCCTGCAGAGTTTTGATATGAAAGTAATTATTTTCCCGGTGGCTACTGCAGGGATTCAGTTTATTTTAGCCCAAAGGGTTATAATACATTACCGATTTCTAGTGATATGAAATCACATAAACTTCCAAGAATAATAGAATTAGCATGAAAGGCTGGGGTGTCAAATTGAAATACGAAAATAATAGCCCCGGCAGCTGGGAGTGTGTTTGTGCATATTGGATAGGAGATGGGAATTCGTGGGGCGGAATTTTCATGAGCTATTCACTTTGTCAGGGCCCTTGTAGCTGGCTATATTAAGATAGATGTTCGATGATATCCCTCATTGTTCTGTCGCTTATATTGATGTTCCTGTGTTATCAGCCTATTGATCATGCGTCGGCTGTAATAGGACGGGCGAAGCAAACGTGCCTATTTACAATAGCAGAACACATTTGTTCTAATAGGGTTGGCGGTCCCATGGGACCCTGTGGGGGCTCCCAGACATCTGCGCCTTGACAATATCAGCACTGTTGACCAGATCTAAAGGCGAGGTAAGAAAAAAAGGCAATAAAATCATAGAATCGTTTTCATGATAAATATAACCGGTAAATACAAATAATTAATTAGTATTTTCATCTTCCAAGGTGTTTAATTTGGTCATACAGGCGCGTTTATTGTCTTCTTAGACATCCTCTGGTCGTCTCACTTCCACCGGGTCTTGATTTGCAAATAAATAGAAAATAATCAGTGGGGCAGGCGCAAATGAATTTCTGAGCCAGTGCCTCTTTCATAATATTTACATAATTTTCACCAGAGACAGACTTAAGACTTAGCATATGGCGTCCAGGGCAAATAGACAAAAGTGGGCAAGATGAACCACAGGGGGGGGGGGAAAGATGTCAGGACAATCAATAAGCACATATTTTGCACACAATGCAGAGAAATAAAGATGGCCCATTGCTATAAGAACAATAGGCCCTAGTTATTTATTCCTAATAGTCTTCCATAGCCTACTGAAAGATTAGGTATTTGAAGCCATCATCCCGCTATCTCCAAGTCAACCGTTTAATATATCTTTATTTCAGTCAGTCAGTTGCCTTTTGTATATATATAAAACCAAGTGTTTAGAAAATATTAGTTGTCTGGAGGTGTCCTTCAAGTTGCTGCTGTTTTTCCCTAGCCGGGCGCGTTCATGTTTAATTAATTTGCAATCTGAATAGGAGTAGTGCTGGCTGCACACTGGTGGCCTAAAGGTGAAATTAGCGATTTGCTTAAGTAGTTAAGCTTTTGCCTGAAAGCAGCACGCTGTATGATTCAAGACAAACTATCAATCGATATGGCCCAGGCAGCCTCCAGGAGATGTGTCTTCCATGAATCATACTTTATGAATTCAATTTCTACCCGGAGAAATTTTCAATTTGAACGCTGGATCATTATGGGAGAGTGTAAATTGTTTTTGCTCTATTATGCATCGGACGCCATCATTTTTCTTTCTAATTACGGAGGTGTCAGGTCGGGCTGTCATGCAGGCGCTGATTTTCAATTTAACTGATCATCATGCATTCATTTTCCCATTTGATAAATCTGCTATCTCGACGCCGCGCCATGCCTGGAATGTTAAGAGAGAGAGAGAACAGCAAAGTAATGGGGGTGTGTGTGCAGCAATAAGTGCAGATCAGGCAGCTAATTTAGCACCTCCTGATATTCCATCTCCATTTCTCATTTTCAACTCTCTGAGGAGAGAAAAGCAGCCCAAAGGCAGAAAGCTGGTATTCAACAACATCAGGGGTAAAACGACTCGGAAAACGCTTGTTTTCCTCAACACATTTTCCAAATTAGGATATCAAGCTTAATTAATGCTAATTGAGTTTCTCAATACGTGTTATTTTTATTTAATAGAATCAAATTCGCGCAATTAATTATGAAGGTGATTTCAAGAGCCTCATTTGCAACACCCAGTCTTAACCCCTTCCTGAGTGCTTTGTAGATTATTTTCTTTTGTCGTTTTATATTTTGCTAAACTCAGAGAGCGCCCCATATACCTCGAGGACAGGTGCAAGGCCAACGGGCCAACCGAATAGTGATTATAGGCCTATTCTGCTTCTCTATTAGACTACACTGCTTTAACTTGGCTGGAGAAATCAGTGACCCATTCTGGATTTCCATATAAACCTTCATGGAATTAAATGTGGCGTTCATCAGTAGTTAAAGCTCACGAACTCTTTTTGCAATAATCATAGCCACAGATACGTTTTGATTGTGGTTAAACCCCCAAAAATGTTAATTAATTGGCAATGCAATGTATTATTCACAGTTACCTGGCCGTTCGTGTATCCTGAAGAAAAACTAATTTATTTTATTGAATCGACCTGAAAATCGTCTGAATTGCATTTTTGGAATATAAAAATAGCTAATTATGTCGAATAGAGAGTGAATTAGAGGAACTCAATCGTAAGGTGTTATGTTAAATCGATTGAGGACCAAAACCTTTGTCAAAGGGCAATACTTCTGATTGCAAAAGAGACAAAAAATCTATAGAGAGCCGAACAAATATGAGAATGATGGTTAAATTAAAGGAATAACATTTAGAAAGCTCATCTCTATTTATCATTAACGTTCACGAAAATAAAACACAAAGTGATAAAATATATAATTCTTTAAGACGACAAAAATATAAAGCCTCTACCTTACTTGAGTTAATCAATTTAGGGATCGTGAATAAACAATGCGCATGTCAGTTATATCCCCCATCCCGCGTTTGCATGGCAGAGATAAGAGCGTTGAAGTCCGCCGGTGAATTAATAGGCATACACTGTAAAGTAATCCTAAAATGCATTGCAGAGTAGCTGCAGGATAGAAGCCAAATGTCAAGTACCGTTTTAAGTGATTGAGAAAGATCTAAGTGGCACTGCTTTTCTTTGGCTACCAATAGTAGAGGCTTCTGTCCCTGCAATCACTTCAATATTCCTTTTTATTGAAATAAGTTTGAACTTTGATTCAATCACCCCTTATAATATGAGGAATTACCGAGCTTGAAACAAAAATGCATGCGAGTTTTCAAACAGACATCTTCTAATTTACAAAGAGACCATTAATTGGGAAGTTTCCGTGAGTTAATGAAATAATTCCCTTTGAGGGCAATTAAAAGAGTGAAAACAGCATTAAGAGCAACTCATAATGCACTTTGTGTTTAGAATAGGCAATTCTAGTATTTAGTTTAGCAATGCAGTTAACAAAATATTAAAAATGTTGGTTTATTTCAAAATACAGTGTTCCATAGTCTCCATATAGTATGTTTTAACACTTAATTTGTATCATTTAATTAGATTCCATCATTTTTGTTATCACATGCTGGCTTAACTTGAACATTCACTCTTTAGATATATAAAAAGACACTATTTTCAAAAGGTGTACCATGGGGAAAATGAACAAACCATAGATCTTTCATTAAAAACATTACCACTAGATTATGGACCTCTTTGTCACAACAGTATCAAATGTATTAGCATTTGAATTTTACTTCTTTTTTTTTCATACATATTCTTGACCCGGTGTAAGTCAGCATGATAAACATGACCCAAATGTTAACACTAACTCCCCTGGTCATTGTGGTTATTAAAAATCAAACAGCCTGTGACTGCTGCTGCTCTTCTTTTCTAATTATCACCTTGTGAGATGTGTTTCATTATTTCATCTGATAAACCACTGAATTCTGGCCAAAGGAGAATTTGTTGGTCCATGACAAAAATCTCAACAAGAGATGGATCTTAATGACCATCGGCTCCAACAAATCAACCCTTAGATTAAAATGCTTGTATTGAAAAACGCAGTACCCTAGCTATAGGTTACTAAAATTGTATTTGTTTGAACAAACATTGACATTATAATGAATATATTTCAATAATCAAGCATCATCCAAAAATCATCATAAAAGCAAAATGAACTGACACAATGCAGAATATTTAATATTTGTGTCAGTTCATTTTGTTTTTATTATGATTTTCTTTTATTATGATGTAGATCTTACTATGTTTCAAAATTTGTTAACCTTTTTAACTTATTCAACCTCCTTAAATGTTTGTAATAAGGCAAAATTGCTACTGGCAAAATATTTTTCTCATTTCAAAATGCAGACTGATTATGTCACAGCAAAGAAAAGCAATTACTTTATTAAGTAAAAACGTCCATCAAGCTAAAGTCCATTTTTGATTCACACTTTGCACATCTGGACAAAACAACTGAATAGCTTTATCCCTTTTGTCAACCATTTCATGATGGTGTAAATATGCTAGTGTGTGTGTGTGTGTATACCAAAAATAGATGTTTTCTTCTTCATAATCAGCTTAATGAATAGGACACAAACTCATAGTGCATGGTTAACTATGGGCACAATGAGGCATCCACAAAATAAAATGCAGACCATGGCGATAGTAAGATACAAAATAAATCTAGGCAGAATGTGCTTCACTGTGAACTGCCACTAGCAGTTCATTCTCACTTGAAAGCTAATTCATTATCAATTAGAAGTGAAAATGGAGATGGGTGGGAAGGATCCTCGAGAGCCTGGCACCTGTATTTTCCTCACCTGCATGCGCTGATGTGCCACAGTGATGGCTAAAGCTCTCGCTGGTGATTTAGAAGGTGCTGTGTAAACAGGCGTTTCACTCCCGTCTTCCCAGGGACTCCAGACCCTAGAGGTTAATGAAGCGTGAAGTGTGAAAACTTCCTGAGATGGGATGAGTTAAATAGTGTT